TGCACTGCGGCCCGGGGAGCGCCGCACCCGCCCGGCCCGGCCCGGCGCTGCCTTTCCGGAGCCTCTACGGAAGCGAGAGGAGCCCACGCGTTGTCACTTACAGCGCATTAACTATGCTTTAAGGTACTCGTTAGCACCTTGTAACGGCTCACTATAATTAGCGACATCAATTACATCCTGCCAAGCCAAGAGCTGCGTTGCTGGGAAGAGAGCGCTCGGGTGCTGCTCCAGCAAAGCACCGCAGCTCCAGAGGACGAGCGCAGCTAATACAGCTCCAACCAACGCTTACGATCTAGGTCAACACCTTCCAGCTACGGTGCCGCAGCAGCGATTATTACCTGAAAGAGGTTACAGAAACAGATTGGCCCATTCAATGCAGAAGTGTCTTTTATTTTAAGTATTTCACTGCTGGAGGAGCAGTTCTGGAAGGCCTGGGGCTTGCCACCCTCAGCCACAGGCACCAGTTGTGACAGCACCGTTTGCCTCACCAAAAGGATGAGGTGCCCCTCCACAGGCAGGCCCTCTCTGTAAAAAATGAGCCTGCAGAGCTGGAGAAGCAGCTAAAGGAGATGTGACCAGCACCCCCTTTAATCTGCTGCTACTGTATGACAGAGTTAAACCTGTAACTTTAACACTCCATCCTTAAACTTGAATTGTGTAGTTTGGACCCTCATCACATTAGGGCTGCAGACTAACAAAAATCAAGTGCTTTGGCACTGAGATCCCTGCAGCCAGCAGAGGTAAAGGCCACCCGTGAAAAAGCCACACCAAAACAGAGCTATGTGACTGCTACCTTGGAAGCAAGTTTTAGACTCTTCCTCAAGATTCACACCCTATGAGCCAGCAGAGGCTGCCACAGTACAGCCCGTTTTATGGGTGCCTCTCCCTCATCTTTTACAAACAGGGGGAGGGGTCAGGCTCTACCATAAAGAAAATCAACCAAAGCTGTAGATTTTCAACATCCATTCAGCTTGCCTTCTTCCTCCTACAGGATAAGTCCCTCCCCTCTATGAAGGCTGACATGAAGTGAAACTGGCCTTAAATAGCACCAGCCTTGCATCTGCCCTGCTAAAGGCAGCTGCTGCACTCCAGCAGGCTCACCTAGCAAGAATGTAACTTTGCACGATAAACACCCCATGCCATTTCACTTGATGATATTAACTAAGTGTAGTATTCTGGGACTGTGTTTCCAGATGGCCCAAGCACAGCTGGTAGGATTGTCAGCATTGCATGCTCTTGGAACAACTCTTCGAGAGCTATGTAGTCGAGACCAAGTATTTTTCAGTTAGTGGACAAGAGACAGGCAGTCTCGATATAACATTTATTGAATATTTCCACTCTAGTGGATCAAAAGTCTGTACAAAACCAAACATTTCCTTTACTTAATCAAACCAATCTAAAAACAAGTCAGCTCAATCAAAACCCACTACAAATACAATAGCTTCTTTGAAGCCATGGTAACACTTAAATACGGTTAAGACTTCAATGCAGAAATTTGGTTTGTTAGAAAGCTCAAGGGAGCTTTAGCTTCTCAAAGTTACAAAAAGGCAAAATCGTGTTTCACAGATACAGTCCACCGGAATCACCAACACTGGACAATTAAGTACTTAGAGTCCTGAGATAACAAGGAATCCTGGTATCCTTTAGACAGTTTTCTGTTGTCCTTTCTTTCCAATCAGAGACTTGTGGATATGCGGTATTACACCTAATAAGAAAGAACAACAATTAAGACCACATTATTTCTCTTCAACAATTTTCCTAAACTTTGCACTTCAAACAAAGTGACAGCATTAAGCAACCTCTAGTCTGTTAAGAGTTCTTGCCACCCAACTCATCACAAACAGCACGTAATTTACATACCACCACCAGCAATTGTTGCCTTAATGAGAGAGTCCAATTCTTCATCTCCTCTAATTGCAAGCTGCAAGTGACGAGGAGTGATACGTTTCACCTTCAAGTCTTTGGATGCATTTCCTGCCAGCTCAAGAACCTGAGGACAAGACCATTTTTAAACCAGAGTTACATAAATTGAGAGCCACTGCATGGCCTTAGTTATTTTGCTGTCTCTGCCAAATATACCATTAGTGACATCAAGACAACAAACAATGCCTCTTTTGAAGGGGTTCCTCCCTTGGAGGTCTGCATTTAGTTTGCTTCAAGAACAGAGTAAGTGTTTTACAGAAGATACAACATGCCGTAATAGCACATTTTATAAAATACTTCACTCTTCCATCTTTCCTGTACGTCACAGTGATTTGACCTGCACAAAATGCAGAGCATATTTCATGATCTCCTGATGATGCATGCACTTAAAACTGGCTCAAAGCAGGCGAAGCGTTCACAGCCCAGTCCACATTGGCAAAATACAGCTCTGGTCATTATGACATTTTGGATTAGACCAAATTGCTTGCACCCCTTGTGGGAGCTTTACCTCAGCTGTTAAGTACTCCAGGATTGCAGCGCTATACACAGCAGCTGTGGCTCCTACACGCCCATGGCTGGTAGTCCTAGACTTCAGGTGCCTGTGGATGCGGCCAACAGGGAACTGGAAAATAACAGGAATATGAATAGGCTGTGACAGAGACAGAAAAAGAAAGCCACTACTCTAAACCACATGCTGGACAACAGAATCCCAGTGACAGAAGTACAGACTACATTTCAACACTTGAGAATCCAGCTAAGAGCACTGTATGCCAAGTTCACATCAGCAACTTCACATAAGCAGTAGCACCAGCCACAATGGAATTCTCTCCCCTCCTGCACAGATATGCGAAAGGTCCAAAAATACCTAAGCCTGACATTAACACGCTTAAGGATCAAACAGATCAACAACAACAACAGACAGACGGCAGACTGCGCAGGTTTCACAAGGTACAACCAACCGAGAGATGACAGGCCAACCTGCCTTTCCTTCACCCGCGCGCCAGTCCCCGCTCACCTGCAGTCCAGCCCGCTGAGAACGGGACACTGCTTTGGTCTTGGTCTTTCCAGAGTCCTTCCCAGCTTTACCACCAGCCTAGCAGAGAGGAGAAGGTGCCGAAGAGCTGACGGCCTCAGCGCCGCCGTCCCGGGCAGGCGCGGC